TTCATTTCAGCCCAGTGTGAGTCCTGCACTTAGCTATCCCAGCCTGTCACTTCCTCAATGGCTCACCTGTGGCATGTTAAGTTTTACACCTCGGATGACGACCGCGTTTATCTGCTCACTGTTCACTGGAAAGGCTCTGGAGTGGGCAGGTGCATTCTGGGAATAAGGTCGGATGTCGTTCCCTTCTTATGACGTGTGTATCGCCCTATTCAGAGAGGCTTTTGAACTCCCTGCAGAAGATGAGGAACTGTCCTTGTCCTGCGTCGGGGAGGTTCGTGCAGCGGATCAAGTATAGCCTACTGTTTCTGCCAAACTCACTGATTGTGTTGGACCCCTCAAGCCAGTATTCCGCGCTGGACCTGTTGAACTTGCTAATCCAGAGACAGCGGAGGTTTCGCCGGCCGAACTGGAGTTTGAGCGCGTGCAAGCCGACTCGAAAGAATCAAGTACCGAGTCGAGTGCATCAAGTGGGTTAAGCGAGTCAAGTGAACCGAATCCCGAATCAAGTGAACCGAATCCCGAGTCAAGTCCTGAGTCAAGTGGGTCCAATTCCGAATCAAGTGAATCCAGTGAGGAAAGTGAGTCAAGTTCGGCTGAATCTATGGAGTCAGGTCCAGTTAAGCGAAACGAGTCTGTTCCCCTGGATCCAGAGTTACCAGTTCCAACAGCGCGCCGTCGCAGGAGGAAGAGGAGGAGAAGGAGGACTCACTTGGCTCGCCAGGCTCCGGTGAGCGTACCCTTCAAGCTCCAGGAGGCTTCTCTTGAACCCGTTTACAGCCCGGAGGTTTCTCCCCTGGATTTCCCCCCCCCCAAAAAAAAGGGGGGGGGGGAGGGGGCAGTAGGTACCCTGAGAAGGCCATGTAGGTGGTGCTGACATGGACCTGATCTGTGCGGTCTTCTCTTGAGCTTCCCATGCCTCTAGTAACGTCTGGTCTCCTGTCAAGTGTGTTCCACCCTGGTTGTCTATGACGCGTGCTTCCAAATGGTCTCTTGCCCTGCTCTGGTGTCTAGGCCCCAGGCCTCTCCACGGGCCTGGCCCTCCATCCGAGCCCCTGTTGACCTCCCCCTGGAGCTCTTAGGAGCGTCTGGAAGCAGCGAGTGTGTTTGATGTGTTTGTTGGTTTATGGTGTGTTAGAACTGGATGCTGATGGTTGTTGTTTTACTGCCTTGTGTCTTAGATTTATTATATTTTGATTGTTTTATAAGTATTATTATATTTTTCTTTTTTTCTAAGATTTACTTATTTACTTTGAATTTGCATTGGCTTGCTATTTTTCTTTAGTTCTGTTAAACCTATTAATAATTTACATACAATTATGATATTAAACATATAGTAAAATCTCTGTGCTTCCCTTGAATAGCCTTTAGCACAACAATTTAGCTATTTAAAGGGATAGTTCACTTTGAAAATAATTTTTGATATGTTTCAGCTTACCTCAAGGGCATCCAAGATGTAGGTGTCTTTGTTTCCACAGTATTTTCAATTTTGACATTTTTCGGTCAAACTGTTGTTGTCTGTCAGTCATATAATGCAGGTTTATGGGGTCCACCTCAATAAGCATGCACAGAGAAGTCAAAATTAAACATGATTTAATGACTCATGAATATGTAAGTACACACTGATGGCCGTGAAGACACGAAACGAGCGGTTTTTGTGAGAAAACGAACAGTATTTATATCGTTTTTACCTCTTGTTAACAGCTATGTCGAACTGATCTGAATCAGATGTCCAACTGAACCGAACTGAACCGTGTCCAACGTTATGCCGGAAGTGATCTCTCGCGTGTCTACGTCGACGATTTCGATTTATCTAAATATGTTTAGTGAAAGGTAAAACTTCCGAAATCTCTGTGTAAACAATGCGTGATGTAGACGCGCGAGAGATCACTTCCGGCGTAACGTTGGACACGGTTCAGTTCGGTTCAGTTGGACATCTGATTCAGATCAGTTCGACATAGCTTTTCTCACACGAACTGCTCGTTTCGTGTCTTAGGCCATCAGTGTGTACTTACATTCACGAGTCATTAAATCGTATAATTTTGACTTCTCTGTGCATGCTCTTTGAGGTGGACCCCC